TTGAAGAAAGAACCCCATGTTGTAGCCCACTGAGAAAACCACGGCAGGGAGTTCATTCCACAATCGGATGGTCCGTGGGTTTTCTATTTTTTTTTGTAATTAGTCAGATCTAAGATACTACTGCATTCATGATTTAGTGCCTGACAGTGGTTAGGCACTAAATCTCAGTTTTGTAATTTTAGATCCAATTAATTAATACGTGGTCTACAATTAGCTTTCATGTTTCATAACAATTTTGCCCTATAATTGATGACTGCCTCGTTGGCCTGGTGGTCGCAAGTGTGACTGCTGGGCAAGGTCTCGGGTTGGATACCCGGGTCGGGCAAAGAATTACTGGATTTTTTTTAATTGTCAGTAGTAACTCTGAGTCTGAAAATGTGCACGGTAAATTGACAATAGGCTCACACCCTATTCATTACATAAATAGTAAAAAGTGGGTGTTACATTGTACCTACCGTAATGTTCACCTCTGCCTATCCCTTCGGGGATAATAGGCGTGATGTTATGTTACTTTATGTTATGTTATAATTGATTTTATAACACAAAAAGCAGAACATATGAGACACGTGGATATGGCAAATAGGAGAAGTAAAGGTAGTATTGATTGGAGCAGGTATAGATAATATTTACTGAGTGTATTATTGGAATATGTATCAGAGACATTGTAGAATATACTTTTTTAAAAAGAGTAACGAATGGAGTTTCTTGCTCGTTCTTCTCCATTCGAATCTACATTTTGGAATGAGCACCTAGTTTCACTGACGGACTGACTGACAGACCTTATTTATTTCAAAAGTACCAAATTATGGTTTAATTGAAATAAATGCTTTGACTTTGTACGCTACGTTAAGTGTAACTGTCTGACTCCCTAACAAATGTCACTTAACAATTTCCCGATGGAAATCCGAGTCTAATTTGTTATATAACAACTGAGAAGTCGCCAAGGTTCACCTGTTCCATGCATGTGGCGCTCAGCCAACACATTCTCCGTTTTCTAAGATAACAATCCTTCTTGACACTTGATTTAAGACAAAGCTGGACTATTTCAATTGTTTTTGTAACTAGACACATATGAGTAAAGAGGTTTTATGCACAGAAAATTAATATTATATCTATGGTTCTTTAGGATCGATACTCAGAATACATTATTATTTTCAAAGTAGTTAGTTACAAATAAATTGGGATTATACCTCTATTGCAGATATAATTAAGATTTCACGGAAATGGTCATCCTCTTTGTGTGAGATTCACGGTAACTAGCAAAGGATTTGATACCAGAATCAGATAATTATTAGTCTATTTCTGGTTAGTAGATCTTATCAGTAGAGTAAAGCAGTACCTTGGATTAGTGCTGAGATCCAGCAATTTGTTTAGCTTGTCTCTTTTACATGGACATTATTACATAAGTTGTGAAAATTGATGGGTATAACATTTAATTTGGAAGCACTTTTGACATGCGTAAACTAATAATTAACTGTTTTGCATCTTAGCTTTAAATACATTAATAAGAAACTATTTACAACACAAAATACACAAATATGTAATTAAAGAATCGCGCACAAATATATAGACATACAGGTCAAAGTGAAAACCTACTTTTTTGTAATTGTACCGAATCCAACGCAAACTTTTCTCAACTTAGGCACAAAGTCAAGACATCATACTAAGAGGTAACTCTACTAAAATAATACCACGACCACAAAAACAAAATCAAAACGAAGTAAATACAAAAAACCCAGATGATTAACCAAAGTACAGGGGATTAAACAGAACCTTCACCACCTCTCGATATCACCGAACTCACACAGATCCTTACTTTTTATATTTTACTTTAGCCAATGAGGAAGCAAAAATGCAAATTGGATAAGTTCCAGGTGATTTATGACTGCCATTAATAACATGATAACGTTAAGGGAGTACGAATAATTAATTACTTTTAGACCTTAATCCACATAATATAGTTGTCATTTAGTTGTCAACTTATTGCACCGACCACGCTCTCACTGCATCACCTAAAGGTTGGCTAGTAAGAATGCCCATGGCATTAAGCCCGCCTATGTACTTTTGTTGCATAAAGTTAAATAAATAAAAAAATAAATAAAATAAGAACTTGGAAGTGAATTAATATCTTGAAGACTAATTGACTGTGTAGGTTTCCAAGTTAGGATGAATCTAAGTTACTAACGTTTTTCGTCTTGATTAGTTGCTGTACAGACGTAAGCACATCAATATATCTTAAAATGTATTTGCGTAAGTTTGAACTTAATCAGTGTTGATTTAAAGTAGAAATTTATAATGGTATACATTAGCACATACGATAAAAATCACATAAATGATAAAATATCTGTAGAAGAAGGCAAAGTCTTAGTACTGCCGCCTGCCGGATCTAGTCAAAGCTACAAAAATACATAAAGGTCAGGCTATTCGCCATTCTGTAAGTGATTTTGTATTCAAAACCCTAAATCTTATACCCACAGGATCATTTTAAGTTGTATTAACAAATAACGCCTACTGCTATTGATAATACAATAACAGTAGCTGTAGGCGTATTTGTGAACATAAAATCTTAAGTAATGTGCTTTGTAACTAATTTCGTATTTTGGGAAAAGGTTGAAGCTTTGAATAATTTGATCGCGACAAATTTTATGTGGGATCAAAATTGTGATCCCTTAATTGCCTTCGTTATTTACCCGTGGTATTTTTTTTGGATTCGCTACCGATGTTAATGAGCCCTGTTACTAAGGACTGGTCTTCAGTAATAATATTATCGGTTAAACATTTTATAACCTTGCCTTATGAATTATACTATATCATCTGCATTTGCACACTATTCATAATTTTTATTGTAAATAACAAGAAATAAAGAAATGATATCATTAATGCATTCTACTAAAATTGAAAATTCGAAAATCTGTGTTTCTTTGTTCCTATTTCACGTCAAAATGGCTGAAGAGATAGAGATCAAATTTGGAACAGGGGTAGATTATGGCCAGGACTAATGTAGACCGCCTTTTATCCGACGGGAACGGAGACTTAAACCGCGGACCGAAGCTCGTCATTAGGTATAGATATAAAACAACGTTTGCATTCTGTTTCATCGTGTGAGTGAGGTTATCGGAGGCCGGAGGCCCAATTACCCTCCCTCCCCAGGCTGTCCAATCCCTGAATCCTCAAAAATCCTCAAATTTCCAACTCCAAAAAGGCCGGTAACGCACTTATAACGCCTTAGTGTTCCAGGTGTCCAATAGCGGCGCCGATTGCTTACCATCAGGTGATCCGTTCGTTCGTTTGCCGTCTGCTGCCATAAAAAAAGTTTATCTTCCTTATGTTAAATAAAATAATTACTTACCTCGTGCACCTACCATTTTTTTCATCACACACCCATATTCTTCTCTGTACCACCCAAAGGTCTGGTAGAAAATGCCTGCGGCATTAAGTGCACCTAGTGTCTACTTTGTGCATATAGGTAAATATATAAAATATAGATGCTTCCAAAAATAATAATGTAACTTCAGACTATTACTGATAGAAAGACACTTGCATAAAGATTATAACAATAGAAGAGTCACCAAGTTTTATTTACCTTAATCTTAAATGATCTAAACCAGAGAACAGATCAAATCCTGAAACTTTATATTGCTAATCTCAATAAGAGTTTTGGATTTACAGCAAAAGAGTTTCGCGTGAAATACTGAAATTTCGGGGCACACAAGATTACTGAAGTTTCACAAAAAGATTTAACATAACGTCAGAACTTAATACTTACTGGTGAAGCCTTTCGATCCAGATCTGATCTGAAATCAAATGCAATGTAATGCAAAATGGACTTTAAGACATAAGCTTTATAGTTCTATTTGCGATGGGATCTTGAGCACTTTAATAAAAAAAGTAGCATTACTTGTTTTGTGGTAGACATTTTCTTTTGTATCTGATTTGCTTCAGTTTTTATTATATTTTTTAGGTATTTCAAAAAGCAAAGAAGAAAGTTAAAAAAGCATGTTTTTTCAATATCTCTTTCACTGGTTTACAAAATCGAAAACTGAAACAATATGGATGAACAATAAAATATTAATACATATACCTACAGTTTAAACAATATTCATATTTTAAATAATAAACAAATAATAATAAAAGGACGCACATACCAACATAAATAAATCCGTAATAAAAACACATTCCAGATATATTTATAGACTCTTGTCATCAGATAGGTACCAATCTGGTTGAGTTACCAATATTAATGCATTGAAATCGTATATTGATAACTGATCGACAGTGAATAGCAGGCCGCGGCATGAATGGCAAGCTTAACATGTTATCTCCCCCACAGTAATTAATTACTATACCATTCAAAATCAATGTGTAATTGGAAAGTGCGCTTTATAAATCTACTAGCTTTTGCACGCGGCTTTACTCGCGCTATTTTACAATTTTACTAATTACACAATTTATTATAATTTTAAAAATAATTGTATTATTTTTTCTTACAAATATCTACCCCCCCCCCCCCTTCAATTTTACCCCCCCCAGGATAGTATGAGACAAAAAGTTGCTCATGTCACTGTCCATCTCTTCAGCTATCTTCACTTCAAATATTACCTGCGTCAATTTCGTCGACCTGTTTTGTGCCGTGAAAGACGGACAAACAAACATAAGTAAATTGAATTTGTAATTTATTCTGACTACATAGCTGGCGCGGTGACTGAGCTTCTGGCTGTCGCGTAACGTGAAGCGGATTCGCTTCCAGCTCGAATTTTCACTCTTTGTGTGATCCACAAATTGTTGTTTCGGATCTGGGTGTTATGTGTATGTGAACTTATATGTTTGTAAATGCACTCATGACACAGAAAAAAATCCTAGAGTGGGGCAACGTTATATTAAAAAAATATTATCATCATCAAACAAATGCTTGACTTAACCCAATTATAATAAAGTGCTATTTCGTTTGTTGCAGTGTGACAAACATATTCCTGGTGAACCTGTCGGTGGCAGACCTGCTAGTGACGCTGTTCTGCATGCCGGTGCAGATCGCGAAGTCCGTAACACTGCTGTGGTACTTCGGCGAGGTTATGTGCAAGACTGTCAACTTTTTGCAAGGTAAACTCTGCTCTTTTAGTATTTCTGATGGAAGTAAATATTCATAAAGGGGTGCTATACTTTTCATATATGAAGAGACAACAAATATTTTAATCAGAACATAATATAACATAACGTTACGCCTTTTATCACCAAAGAGCAAGCGAATATGTGAAAAAGATGAATCATTTTCTTTATTTAAAGTTGACTGAGTTGCGCTGGGCTGCAGAATTAAGTACGTACACACCATGGTGATTTTGTAATTCCCAGAAGAAAGTAACAACAGCCTTGCTTTAAACCATGTGTCATGCTTGCTTGTGAGCTGAAAATAAAATACTTTCGAAGCCTTACTTTACTCACTAGTAAGTTACATAACATACCATAACATAACATCACGCCTTTTATCCCCGAAGGGGTAGGCAGAGGTGCACATTATGCCACTGTACAATGTAACACCCACTTTTCACTATTTATGTTATGAGTCCCATGTGATTTATATTGCCATATACCGGGCACAATGTCAGACGCCGTGCTAATACTGTCATTTAAAAAAAAACTGGTAATACTATGCCCGACCTGAGACCTATTGCCCGGCAGTCGCAATTGCGACTATTCGGCCAACGAGGCAAGACAGTACAGCAGTGTACGGTGCATGGCAAACCGCTCCTAAATAAGTTATCAGAAATAAATAATAAATCACATAAACATCCATCCTGACATTGAAATCGAACGCGAGAACCCTCACATCACCACTCAAATAACAAAGATAACAACAGCAACTTGGAGTTAACAATGTACCTAATAGATAATTAAATACCATTAAACACAGAAACCATTTTAGCATAATGTTTGACTAACAATATGAAAAGGTAATTTTCCTGTCCGAACAAAGACGAGAAGATGGGAACTTGACGCCACACCACAGAACTAGCCAATTATAATAATTGCCCCAACTACTGCAAAGGTATTTTGCACAGGCTTCAGATGAAGCACTCAGTAATTTTTTGTCATTGCATTTTCCACTGTATATCAAAGTCATAAAGTTGAAAATTAAACAAAGAAATTTGACTGAAAAGGGTAGGTTCACCTGCTGAACTGCAGTACCGTTATTTTAGCTACGTACAGAATTGTTAGTGCTAAATTATATCGAGAATAGAAGCATTCTAGAATGTACTGTTAGACATTTAATTTTGGTTTTGATGAAGCTGTATTTCCACTGTAGCTATAATAACAGATTCTTTAACTATTTGTGAGTGCGGTGGATGGGCAACCGACTGCCGCACAACGTGTCGCGGATTCGATTCCCGCACGGAGCAACTCTTTGTGTAATCAACAACATTGTTGTTCCGGGTCTGGGAGTCATATGTATGTGAAATTGTATGTTTGTAAACGCACCTACGACACAAGAGAAAATCCTAGTGTGGGGCAACGTTTATTTAAAAAAAAGTTGTGAAATTTCCTAGTTCAGTTTATTAAATAGTTTCCTACAAGATCCACAATTAACCCACATAATGATATTTCTGGTGTTGTAAGTGAACTTAGCTACGATGATCGCTTACAATTGCGTGTACCGTACTTAAGCTGTATTGCCAATAAAGGAGTAGAAGAAAAGAAATTGGCATAAATGTAATAAACAAAATATGCCTGGAAATAAGAACGTGTTTTGTATGGCAAGAATAAGGTAGTTATAATATTTGTTTATTATTTTTTATTTTCATTAATTAGTGCACGTAGACACAATCGACAAATAAATTAAAATGTAACATACATTTAACATGATCGTTGATTAAGAGCCGATATTTTGAACGCCAGATTTTTATCGGAGATATAATATAAAAAATTTACGAGTTCCACCATATCAAAAACTGTGAAATTTCAATATTGTTATGAATTATATCTGTTTATTAAAAAATCAGCCTTAAGAGACTTATCACTTAAGAATTCGTGAGGCTATGTCAAAATGTACCTTTATGACAACTTACCAATTTGACTGCATCTACAATCTTTTGAGACGAGTCTCTACATCTACAAAGTCTTAAATCCTAAACAGAATACCTAGGTGTCACTTGGGATTTAACAAAGTTTATTTATGAATACACTCTGTTGCTGAGTTTTCACATACTTTCGCAAAACACCTTAGAGTTGATATTTATTTGATAGCCAAGCTAAACAGTTTCATTAGTGGTCGGTAAATCCCTATTTGGGTTCTAAGACGACAGTAAAACAACGGTTAAACAAAATTATGTGGTTTTCCACCATGATAATGATTATTGTTTACTCTCAAGGGCTTGGTTTACTCTCCCTCCTCTTTGAAAGCATGAAAATAGCTGCCATTCTTTAGTGCAAAGCAGTATGGGCCACTTGTAGTAAGAGAACCTTTTCGTAAACCTCCAAAGAGTAACATTAATAATGTACCAAAGAGAACACGCTAGAAATACAAGACCTTATCAATAATTTCAGCTCCATGAATCTTTATTCTTTTTTATTTACCCTTCAAGTATAATAGTGTTGAGAAAAGACACACTTGAAACGTTAGGGCCTATAAACTAAGATTTATGTTCCACGTGACTGAGCCCATACGATCAGGAGGAGGTCGCAAACAACTTTCGTTGGGCAAAATTAAATTTGTTGAGACATACTTCAGTATGTGTGCTATTGGAATTTGTGATTGAAAATTTAAACTTAAGTTAAACATTTATTGCGATTGAGTGAGTTTGAGAACGTGTAATCTTGATTGAGAACTTATTGAAGTTAATTTTTCACCTGTCATTGGTTGCGATTTAACATTAATAAGTTAATCTACTTGTGTATATATTTATCTACTATTAGTGTCACTGAGAGAAGAATAAAATTGCGGTTATATGGCGGCGGGGACAAAAACCTCCAACAGACTTGGTTGTGTTGCGATAGCGCGTTGTGTTTGTGGGTCAGGTTACCGTAAGCCCAATTACCCCCTCTCCCTAGTATTTCCAATCCCTGAATCCTCCACAATCCTCAAATTCCCAATTCGCGAAAGGCCGGTAACGCACTTGTAACACTTGTGCCTTGGTGTTCCAGGTGCCCATGGACGGCACCGATTGCTCACCATCAGATGATCCGTATGCTCGTTTACCGAGTTATGCCATAAAAAACCTGTTACTTCGTTTGACCACCTCAGGAAGAATAATGAAAGTATTGTTTATGCTTATCCGCAATTAGTCCAAAACTATGAGTAGATTGTTGTACCTTACTGTTTATCATGCCCAGAGAGATCCTTTACACTTCATCACCTGTCATTTAGCTTTTGGATGTCATGGCGTTCCAGTCGCTTAGTGTAGCTTATAGTTGCCAGTATGGTAGCTAGGCTATTCGTATGCTTTTTCACTCGTATTTTGTATTTATTTCCTGTTATAACAGGCTCCTCCATATTAGTTCTTATGGTTAAAGCTTCATGGATCTCTGTATTAGCAATAATTATGAAAGTTACAGACGTACCATTAACACATAACCATGTCATATTAAACTGTCAAACACCAAGCGGTCACCGGTGACCGCAACCTATTGTTCTATAATTGTGTCTACAAAACCGGTACTCGACGAGTTAATTGTAACTGTTAGAGATGGTGGTCGTTTACACAAACACTGAAAACAACAGCATAATATTATATTTCTACTTCTGTAAAACAGTCCCGTGTAGTGTATGTGACACCTCGCCCTATAAGTAAGTACTTAGCGTAAGATAGATATTAAGACACTTAATTAAAGATATTCCTAACAGTAACACGTTTCCCTCATTGCTCCACATTGCAACCGTCTGTCTAACTTTTAGATAGAATTTAAGGCTTCATGATCAGTATTCCTGTTTGACTAAGCTCACAATATTTAGTGTTTGTTCGATAGAACAATGTACCAAAATAGAAATAAAACTCAATCAAATTGTCAATTAATTCAGTTTTGGTTAAAACAAAGTGAATGATAAAAATTGCTTTAATTAAGATCAGAGTCTTTTGGTATTTGGTACAAAGCAAATTATAAAACAGAGAAGGCTTATATTACAAATAGGTATTAGTATGATAGATTTATCATTTTCTTTTGATTTCTCATCATTTTCTTATCGATTTTGATTTGTTAATTCGATTCCATGTTTGATGCGGTAGTTGGGTGATGGACCGCACGCACTAAAATGATTTGTTTTCAACAAAACATTCGATATAATTATGAATGTATGGAGCGATTACCAGCTACAAATCTCAGCTTACATTTTTTTTTGTAGTACATTTGAAATGGCGTGTTACCTAAGAAATTGATCTATTACACAACTGCTATGCGATCTTGTTACGTCATAAGTCACAGTGCAATGAAAGGCACTCTATTCGGATGTCTAGATTACGTGTGTAGAACCTTTCATAGATTTTCTGAAGTATCAGTGATGTAACTGAGTCTTGCGTAACAATTGGAGCACCTATGTCCATAATATCAAATAGATTGAGTTCCAGATACTAGGGAAAAGAACTATGATTTCAGGTACAGGTCAGGTAATCATTCAATCACTTCTCCCACCCAGAGAATGAATGAAGGATCATGTGTCAGTGGTGGGGCGTTTTTTAGCAACGTCTTACAATTTTGCTGTCATACAACATGATAATGTAGTTTCATTTACGTTTAAACGTTGGGATCACAAAAAAATAAAATTAACTTGGTAACATAATATAGTATACTTTATTCAGACCGTCGATACCTCTGGTCATTCAAGGTACGATTAGCATATACTTAATAATAACGTTTAAATGTATAAAATAATTGAATAACCCAAAAAATAATGAACACAGCTACGCTTTGTTACGTCCACAAGTGTACCTATTACCATATCAAGTACAATCTAAATCACGAAACAAAGAAAAATATATACAAAAGCAATTGAGAAACTCTTTCAAGCCAATCAAGTGAACGACTCACGTATAAGGACCTTTGGTCATCAGATATTCCGGGTTCATGTATCAAAAGAAAAACCTCTTGTAAAGTGGTCCTTCTGAACCCAATAATTTGCGGTATTAAGGTCTGAACTTGTATAATATCGGGCGTACAAGACAGTAGGACCCGGTTGATAACATTCAGGGCTGAGAGACGCTTGATTAAATTTTGGGGAGCCAACTTTGGTTATAAGCTCATTTGTTTCAAGAAAATTTTCTGGTACTGTCCCGTTGATTGCTTTTATTTTGCGCTGGATCGGAAAATGGTTTGTTAATTTGGTTGGATTTTCTTTTTTATTCGTAATAATTTGTAATTTGTAGGCCTGTACATAACAGAACATGTATATCGATCTGTAGATCTCAAGATGTTGTAACATCGTTCGTTTTAAACATTTGATCTTTGTATTCAGGTATGTTTTGCTTAAACCTATTCTCGCTTAGTAAACTCGACACCCATAGTGTGATAGTACCGACCACTTTATCGACTTAGAATCTGTGCCAAACCACAGAGTACGCCAGGGCTTAACACAATCTAAGGTCATGATGCTATAATGGCTCCTACCCTTATGAAGCTTTAGTGTACGGACTAAGTAAAGTTAATATTTTATCGAAACATACCTTTTGAATAAAAAGGCCATATATGTTGACTGATTTCGGTTTAAGCTACGATTAAGGCAGGGAGTAGAGCTAGACATCGATTTTTAGAAGAAAATAAGGATTATTGCGTGTCTTCGATAATGTGTGTTGTATTACACGACAAAAGAATCTGTCATTTTTATATTGTGTATGTTTATGGTACATGTTCCTATTGTATTCGTACAAATTTGAGCAATATATTATGTTTGAGATTTAATTGTGATCATGACTTTCTGAATTCCTTTTGACAAGAACAAAACCCAATTATGTCATATTTGATTATTCCAATATTAAACCTTCTAACATTGTCCTCAGGAGTAGCAGTAGCTTCAAGCGTGTTCACCATCACAGCGATGTCGGTGGACCGGTACCTGGCCATCACACAGTCTCTACGACAACCCTGGATGCCGTCAAGACGAGGAGCCTGTAGTCTTCTAGCAGGACTCTGGCTAGTAGCTCTGGCCATCTTCGCTCCACTTCTAGCAGTAGCTACAGTTGAGAGGGAGTACGTTCCTTCACTGTCAAGGACGCGAAATGGATCGGTGAGTTTCGGTTTTGTTTTAGTAATATTTTTCATTATGAGATACATCTATCTTGTTGTATTATATCTAGTACCTAAAGAGTTTTGATGCAACCGAAGTTTCTTATAAAACTACTTCGTACTTCTGTCCATAAAAGTAAAGTGCCAAAGCACTTACATCGTTAAAGCGTGTCTGGAAGGATTATTCTGCATTGTAGCGCTGATTATCATACATCATTTTGGTATCGAAAACGTAAAGTGCATACACTACTTTGATCGCAAAGTACACCTCAACTATGCTATTCATACTTAGAAAGAAAGTTGCATCAAATTCAATTGAAAGTAAGAATACTGAGTATCATCTTTGAACAAATTTATATTCAGATAGTCGGTTAGATATGATCTTGAATACTAAACCGAGCGTCTCCCGTCTCCCGTTAGTTCGTTGAGCAAAGAGCAAGACGATTTTATTAAGATTTGCATGGAGATTAAAAATCTACATCATATTATTTCATGGACTAAGAATACTTGACGGAGGTTTATTTTAAACTTCACGTTTTAGTTGGCTTGGGAAAGATAGTACGAATGAAGTAACAACAATCAACAGTTATATTTATTGAAATCATACTTATTATATATACAATTAATATTAACTATAACTAAATGAAAATATATACAACTTAAAATATAAATAACTATGAACTAAAATATTTACACCTTAAAAAAAAGGTAATAATAAATAAATAAGCTATAATAAGGCATCAAAAAAAAAAATTTTCCTCATCATTATCGTGAGGTAGGGTGCCCAAAAGACAACAGTTACCATAATTATTATTATAAACTCTGAAAAGAGAATCGTGTTATAATTATGACATCACAAGGTACCCATTAGGTACTACGTGACGTCATAATCCACTCAACTATTTAAACTGCAGTCACATAAAGTTGCTTTATACAAGAATTTATAAAAATGTACACAGTATATTTACTTCTATTAAAGATGATCAAGTAGTATTAATAGTAATCAAACAAGAACAAAAACTATTCAGTTGAAGCAGTGAGATTTACAAAAACTAACTTTAAGACCACAAATGCAACTACCAAGAAAACCAAGTATTATGCTGAACACCCACGAACCTAACTAAAAATAGCTCCTGAGTATAAATGAACATCATTTCCAATTCAATATCAAAACACTTCCTTTAAATTTACTGACCAATTTGTGTGTTCTTAAGCTTGGAAGGGTCAGATCACAAATCGTGCCCCCATCTTGGGAAGGTTGCCCTTAAAATATTAATCGTAGCGCCTTAAGTACGGTAATGTAAGCAGTTACTTTTAAAGTTAATTGGACGTTATCTTAGAAAGCCACTTAGGTACAGATTGTCCTGAAAGTGTACTTTCTTTTATTTATGAAGTAATGTTTTTAAATTTTCAATGTCATTGGGCAAGTTAACCCTTTGAGTACCATCACTATAGACACAATTAAAGAACAATAAGTTGCGGTCACCGGTGTCCTCGCGGTGTTTGACAGTTTTAGACCTTTGAGTGTTATAGATTTTGGTGTCAAACTAAAAATTAAAATCGGACAGTCGACTTCAATAATCGAGACATCACTATTTTTATGATGATGATTAAAAAAAAAAATTACTCTAGAGAAAATCTTGGTCTGGACCACATGGAAGAAAGTATACCTACTTATAAGTGGTCCGTCACTTAACAAATGTTCTAAAGAGTGGTCTTTGACTAACAAAAAGATGAGAACCCCTGGCCTAATGTGTCAAGTATAGTCGGTCGAGAAATTGGATCTTTGAGTTTTGGCTTAGGGTAGAAATAGGCTAGCTTCCTTGGTTGGGAAAAGTGTTATTGGGATATTATTGCTTTTTGAAAATCGCTCAGTAATAACACAGAGGTCAAATTTAGGCTCTGTATAATATATATTTATTAAACCTTGCTTCTTATACTAAAATTTTCTCCTGTATCGTGGATGCGTTTACAAATACACAAGTTCACATACACATCACACCCAGACCCGGAACAAGAATTTGTAGATCACACAATAGTTATTCCGTGCATTGAATCCGCTATACGATACCCAGCCACCGCACCAACTGTGCAGTCAAATGGTAATGAGGTGGAATATTATGTGAGTACTGTATTACTTCATACATTATCAAGGTCATTAAATGGGCTAATGTGCCCCCAGATATTAAGGTTTTTGGGTATACCGAAAAGTAAAATTTTATTCCGAATATTTTGATACTATATTATAACGTTTCGTGCGTTATTATTAATGGTGTGTGTAATTATATTAGACGCGTGTTTTAGTCAGCTACTTTCATGGTTTTGATGTTTAAAAGTGTTTGTTTGTACTGTAGTTACCTTCTGTATAATCCTTACTAATATTATAAATTGGAAAGTCAGTTTGTTTGTTTGTTTCGCTTTCACGCCATAACTACTGAACCGATTGCTTTTAATTTTTGCAGACGTAAAGTTAGAAGTCCGGATTAAATAATAGGGTACTTTTTATCCCGGAAAAGTTTGATATTCCCGAGGGAAAACAAAGTATTGGTATAGATGGCGCTGTGTGTGTAGGCTACTTTTTATCCTTTTGTGACGCGAGCGAAGCTAAGCTAAGATAAAAGCTAGTTATTTAATAAATAATGTTTTTTGTACACAAAACCATTGTTACAAAATTTGGATGCCAGTTTATTTCCTTTTGAATCTTATAACAGGTAAATAAAGATAGGTAGCCAATCATCACCATGCAGATCAGCTTTAGATAAAAATACGCATTTAGTGAAACAATATTTTTATGTGTTTGTATTTTGAATTATATTTCATTAATATACTGAATAATAAATATTTTGTCTTCGACTTACTTATCGTGCTATACATAAGTAGGTATACAGACTGAATAAATAAATTGATTACAGTTCGACGAGTAAAACTACAACCAAGATTATTAACTTCGAGTGCTACACCCACCATCACTTCCCACTTACCGCCAATATCCGCCATTTCATATAATTACTTTGTTAATATCGTTTCGGTTCGCGGTTCGCGTTTCGCGGTTTTACCCGCTACTCGGCTCCTATATGCTATACCCCTTTGATAAATAATTATATACTATCGAACACAAAGACAACTTATCAAATCGGACAAGCAGTTTCGGTGATAGTGCGTTCAAACAAACAAACGAGCTCTTCAACTTTTTGCATATCTTATAAATATAAAAATGAATCCCTTTTTCCCTTGGCCACGGCATCACGCGTGTAAGGCTGGACCGATTTCACTAATTCTTTATTTGTTATATTTGTTATTATTAGGAAAAGGTTCTTAAGACAGAAAAAGTGAGAACGGGAGAAAACGGGATTTCGCGTACGGAGTCGCGGGCAGAAGCTAGTATTGTGTAAAAAATATCTAAATACTACAGTACTACAAGTTATTATTAATATATAGGGGCTATTGTGAACCGTTTACAACTAACTAAAACGTTCCATATGACCTTGAGTTCTTAAGTTGGTGGCTTAATACTCAGTGTTGATAAATCTAGTCTCTATAATAAAAAACAGGCAAATCTGACATTAGCTTAACATAACTTAAGAGAAGTATGCTTACTGAACCCTAATCCTAAACATAGGTCTCACTTTAATAAAATCACGTCACTGCAATACCTGAACCCACGAACTCTGTAAGAAGTATTTAATGTTATTCCAACACCTACAACGAGAAACCACCCCCAAAATAAATAGCCCCATCTTCGTCTCACGTCGGAACTTTGTGTTTTTGACACTTTAGGCGACCCCTAAATGTGTCAGGCCAAGATAAGTGACGTCAACTCATTCAGAAAAAGATTTTCAATGGACTGAGAAGTATTGTACCCAAAATATCTTATGTTCACTCGAAACGTTTTATGTAAATACAAAGATTTTCAGGAAGGCCAAGGCTTTTGTTGGATCATTTTGTGCAATTCATTCAAAGCTAACTGTTTTTTATTATCCTAACTTCCATTTTTTCGCCTAAATTCTTATAATTCTTGATGATTGTTTGAAGATTCGAGTGGTGTTTTTGTGGTTTACTCTTTATTGGACCTTTGAGAACAATTTTTTGTTTCTTTGTTGTTACAAATAGGCTATGAAAAAAAAATGTATTGTTAGTCTGATTCTAAACTTTTTAAAGAAAGTAACGTTTAATTCATAATTGATTGAATACGTCCAAGTGGTTCAACATAAAAAGACAAAATATACACATTTAACAAACACTTTGAAAAACTCGTAAACCACTCCAGAAAACTTGTGGTAAAAATGAAAATACAAAACGACTAAGTTCTGAAACAAACTAAAGAAAAATTTTTGAAACAATTGTTCCTTAAAGATTTTCCCACAACTTTTTACTTTTGAAGCGGAAAAATGTAGAAAAATTTTTTCTCATGTAGAAAAACCTGCCACCTACTTACTTTAACAAGAAGTTTATTGAAGAATAATATACAATTCGAAAAAGAAACTCCATTTAAACAAAACTACGTTAAAATTGGTGTATTATTTGTACGAATCCATCAGAAACAATTACTTGATATGATCGGAAGTTAAACTTATTTTTTATGACTGTATGTATCAACCTACTATCCTATCATAGCTGCCCGAGCCAGGAGTGGTACCAAACCGAACAGTTTTACATAACATTAAACGCTTGAATAAGAGACACAATCGATAATATATTGTCTCTCGCGTGGATCTGCGTTTAGGCACACCACTGGAATAATCTTATCGCCACCGTTTTTAATCTGATAAGTCCCACATTACATCAACAATCTACTATTCGTGGCCACTGCTGACTAAAGGCCGCATCTCGAATGGAGAAGATTTGAGCATTAACTTCTATATGCACGATTACACAAAAAAATCCACAACATTAATTTGTTCACTAAACATCGGAAATAAGGTCTATAATGGAGTATGTGGAGAGCGGCCACGTTTGTCCCTAGATAAAATTCTAATAGGTAATACTTTATTCGATAAGAAT